CAGCACAGCACAGCACAGCATAGCATAGCACAGCACAGCACAGCACAGCACAGCACAGCACAGCATGCTTGAAATAACAGCTGGAGTCTCTATGTTATGCTTTCCATCTTCCAAGGAATATACATCTTTCGCTTACAGATGGAGACAAGTGTAAGTACAGCTGGATCTTATATTTTCAAAAATATAACAATTGCTTCCCTGGATTTTGATAACCACACTTCTGGACATAGCTTAAATACCACTAGGTGGAGCCTAATGTAAACATCTGATTCTCCTTCCAGATTTCTAACCATTACAGACTTAAATAATTGCAATAGCGATTCTGGATTTTTTTCCAGACTTTTCCCAACCAACAGGATTCCTTTCTTCTATTGGTCAGATAATTCTTTTATATATAAGCAAAAGAGAAGTTTTCAACATCCTCCAACAATCGTAACCCCTACAATCTGCCTTATGAAACGAGGGATTTGTAAATTGGGTTTGCGAGTCAGAATTTTAATAAAAACCTTATTATCCTGAGTAACATCTGGTTCACATAACACACAAAGCTGTTATGGTTAGGCCTGGTATAATATCTGAACCAGTAGTGTGGGTTAATTGGTGGTTAAGGAAGAGCATTTTAACATGTTTTGCTAAGTTTACCAAACAAAACCAAGGTCTGACATATCATCTAAACCAGACTGAGGGATGGGTGATTCATTTTGGATTCCTCTTTCCAGTCTCCAGACCTGGGAGAACTGGAATACAACATAAAGAAAATGAGGAGGAGAATTACAGAGACGGTGGCACAAGATTGTGCTCATCATTATTGCCCAGATATTGTCCAGCTGGCTCCCTGCAACTGGGAGGAACTAGGAGACCTATGAGCTAGAGAAGCCCTTGTCCATTCATTATGGTATCCAAACTAATATTTGTCCTTTAATCTCACAGAATATTTTAAGTAAAAATCTCAATAGGCACTGCTTCTTATTTATCTGCTCCATCTGTAGACTGTCCAATTAAAAACTAAAACTTCTGAGCATGTTCTAAACTCAAGACATCATTTCTGCTTTCTTCAGCCTCACATTCAGGGAAATGTGATTTTATCTGAGATTCTCTCCTTCTCAAATCCATTATAAAAAGTCCTTCCCAAATGTATATTCTTGGTAGAATTAATCTGGATCAAAAGAACATTTCTAATTTTAAAGGATTCTCCTTACTAATCCAAGTGAAACAGTCAACTTTAAAGGATGAAAAAAGGAAAAGTCTCACAGGAAAAGAAGTACATGTTTGCAGCCTTTTTAAAGAAATCTGTATTTGATAGTGCATAGATTTACTAGATTCACAAAAGATGAGGCCATATTGGGCAAAACAGACAATTACTTATGGTACAAACTTTGTAGAACAGTTACTAATATCCACTGTTAGAAATGCTATGTTTTATGGTATTCTACGCAGAACACTCAGTTAATGCTTTGATTGTCTTCAAAATGAGTGTGTGTGTGTGTGTGTGTG